GCAGGGGACAGCAGGGAGACTTGCTTGGGAAAGTGGCGGGGGCTTGCAGAGAGCAGCGCAGCCAGCTCTGCCGAATGCACGTCTGCTTTGGGAGCAGGGAACCGCGGGCTCCCCACGAGGGCTGAAGGAGCCACTCCAGAGGCAACCTCTCTGTCTCGCACTACCAGGATGTCCTTGCTTTCAAGGCACCTCAGTTCACTGCGGTCACTCCCTCCCTGCTTGAACCCACAGCACGCCTCTGCTCCCTGGGCGCGGGCAGAGGAGCCTGGATCCAGCTGTGCAACTTTCTTAAAAGTCACCGCAGCCCTTCAGGTTTCCCTGCTGGGATCAGCCAGGAAGAACGATGACAGCGAAGAGGGCGCCCTGCCCCTTCCTGGAACCTTATGCCATCATCGAAATCGCGGCGCTGGTGCCAGGGGATGGCAACGCTTGCCAGACGAGAAACTGAAACAAGGGACTCCGGTCAACGCAGACCACTGCAGGGAAGGGCTGCTTTTGCAGTACCGGTCCATCTGCCTTGCCACTCCTTCATGCAGAAGGCGGGATGGGGTGGCACCTCAGAGACTAACGCATTCAGAAAGGCGTAAGCTTTGGTAGGCAGTAGCCTACCTGGTCTGTGCTAACACCTGATGAAAGAGGCTGTCGCCTATGGAAATGTATGCCTTTCTGAATTAGTTTCTAAGGTGCCACCCTGCCCTGCCTTCTGACCTCAGACTAACATGGCTGCTATTCTTTCCCAGTTTAACTTGGCTTCCCTCCCACGACTACGTGGATGATATTAAGAGGGCAGAAGCTGTGGAGATTCAGGCAAGTCACTAAGTCTCCACTCTGACCCAGAAGCTTCAGGGAGCCGGCCCGTGCACTATTAAACAGCATGCACTGATTTATCAGAGTCTGAGCAAAAAGCCTCTCCTTTGTTCACAAGGGCCGGGCAGATAAGAGCACAAGCACTTAAATTAACAATTGCAAGGTAAAAGGGGTGGGGATTTGCCATGTGCCAGCTTCTCCACGTTAACAACCCATAAACCTGTGCTCCTAGACGGGACCGCTTCCGCACGCAAGGGCATGCTGTGGAGCTGACACGCACTTCCATCCGGCAATAACAAGCAGCTGATATGCCCAGGCCCTACGCTTCTTGCAGCTTTCACCTCTTAACTAATAATGAATTTCTGCCAGTTCCTTTCATGGACATGCACTGCCAGGTTAAGCACGTACCTACTGCATTCAATGTACAGGTTCATCGCAACTGTCTGCCTTCCCCAGTGCTCTGCTCGCCCCTTCAATGCCGGGCACTATATTTGCTCCGAGAACGCCACAGCTGCTTGCCGCGACAACTTCAGATCAGTCGAACCGGCGTTAAGACACTCGTGTGCCTGAAGCCATCATGCTATGAAGTCACATGACAGTCGTGACAACACAGGAAGGCCACGTGCTATGAACCCCAGTGATTTCTGAGCCAAAGGCAAAAGGGGGTCAAGATCCTGCTCTCTGCCCTTTGCTGCATGCAAGAAATGCTCAGCCCACACTGCTCATTTCTGTCAAACCCGCTTTGCAAACACAGCCTGAAATACAGGAACACAGAGGACTCCTGGACGCACACCCCCACCCCTACAACAGCCATCCATCTCCCTTGCAGCTGGGCCTGGTAGGGGGAGAAGCAAGAGCACGTGAAGGGACTGGCAGGGTGCTCACCTGGACAAAGACAGGTTAAGAAAAAGACAAGGTCCAGGGAAGGCTGAAAGCTTTCACCGTGAAGAGAGAAGCCAGAGAGAGCGAGCGCTCCCACGCATCCTCATGCACAACACAATGCAACACAAGGGGTCAAGGACGGGGAACAACGTGCAAACTGAGGATGGGAATCTGCATCCTGAAGTCACAACACAGACCCAAGGGCCGCGAACGCCAAGAGCCTCCGCACCCGAGACCAGCACGATCGTTGCTCACGGGTGGCCTGCTTCTGGGGCAGACCGCATGCGAGCTGCTGCAGGAGAGCTCCGACTCTGTCCGGCGGGTCAATATTTAAACCCCAGACCCCAAGGAACATGTAGTGGGGAGCAAAACACCTGCCCTTCCCTCCCGGCTCCCCTGCCTCAGGGACGCTGGGTTCGTGGCTTTGGCAAAGAGGTGCAACCCGGCCTGGCACAGGAGAGGCTGCGGATACCTTTGCAAGGCAATTACAGGCAAATCTGCTCCTTTTAAAAACACGGTTTAATTAGCATCTTCCGAGGATGCTGCTGAAGCTGTGCAAGGCGCAGCCCTGCAATGCCGGCCTGCAGCCTCCTGGGGCCCTTTGCAACCGGGAGCTGCCCCAGACAACAAGCCATCTGCCCCGTCCCTGCAACCAATGCCTCCCCACAGGCTGTCCCCTGGGGGCTGCCTGCAGAGCGGAGCCC